TCTTTGGTAGCTCTGAGGGAGCAGGCTGCAATCAGAAATGCACACTCTGGAAATGCTGCTGTATTAACTCATTCTAATGGTTTCTGTTTTGTTATTACCAGACACAGTTATGCACAGTGCACAGAAACCAGATTATCAGGGAGAGTGAAAACCTGTCATGGGACAGCTCGGTCCCTTTAAATCCGACAAACCAAATGACTTACAATGGCTTTCAGAGCATGAATTATTTATTATCAGTCATACAGTCTCCCTCAGCTGTTATTCAGATTTGACCTGCACTGCACAGTTTTGCTAGGAATTATTTCAGCTGCAAGTGTGAAAATAATGGTACTCCCTTGCTGATAGAACTGTGCTGCAGAAGAGAGCATTTGTTGGCTTGATTAAGGCTGCAGGGGAAAATAAAACAACACCCAAGTTGACAGAAACCCCCTCTTGAAGGAATTCACACTGCATCTTCACCAGGCTGCTGTGTCAGAATAGCTGTGCTCAAACTGGGGTGTCCACAGAGGTTCTGTAGTAAAGTTGAGCTGTCAGAGATAAACAATCTTAAAAAGATAGTCAAAATGGAAACTAATGTAAAAGAAGGAATAATGGTTTTGCTCATTAGGCATCATAGAGAGGGTTATACATTCCGTGAAACCCTGGATATGTTGAATTCAGTAGCAAAGGCTTTGTTCTTGTAGGCACAGAACTCAATACAGGATTCAGGCTGCAATTTATTCTTCGGCTCAGGCAGGCCCAACAGAACTAGCCTGTTTATCTCTTCCCATTACATCTTTCTTGTTTTCCAAAAGAATTCCAGTATTTAATTCTTTAATATATTGAACTGTGATAATTATTTTTCATTTCAGTTTATTGGAATGCCAATACCCTCTCTTCCCTTATTGTTGCTTTATTGTTTTATGAAGATAACATAAATCGTTAGTACAATATCCATGGAGAACTGTGAGCTTGTAGGCATTTATCATGTTCCTTATCCTTTGAGAGTTTTCTTTTAATTCAGGGAAATCTCTTAAGATTAATGGACTGGGGGAATGGGCTGAGGCTTAGATGAAGGCAGAAAAGGAAAAATAAACATTCCAGGAAGAGCATTGCTGTGCGCAGTGTACACAAAGAACAGAGCAGAGGTGTGGAATATGCTTTGCAGAGAACTTCCTCCCGAGTCCTGTCTGCAGCTCATTGCAGCGCACTGCAGTCTTCATTAAAACTTGATTTCCTGAGCTCTAGAAAGTGTGCTTGTCTCCCTGCAGATACAACATGCAAAGGTTCCCTTTCTCAGTGGTTTCATCACCTCTGCACGTGTCAAGTCAGTGTTTAATGCCTTCACAGTCCCAGGGTACTCCTCGTGTTGCTTGAGAGCCCCAGAGCCAAACCTTTAAAGTGATTAAAAAATCAAGACTAAACTCTATTAAAGGCTGAATTTCAGTCAATTAGCGACAGCTGATCTCTTGGGCTGATGGAGCTCACAAATCAGAAGATAAAACATACAGAGCTGGGAGATTGAACCACCTCAGGGCCATACAAAGTATTTCTTTCTGGAGAAGCCTCTTAACATGCCTATCTCCTGCCTACCCCAGTCCTCAATATTGTAGTCTAAATAACAGTGATGAAAATACGCTATTCAAAGGGTAGATACATTTACTGAAGCCTGAAGAAGATTGGGTATTTCAAGATACCCATTAAAGTCTTAATTGCTGGAAGTCTGAGTCTCAGGTAGAAGTTGTTTAGCTATTACAGTGATGTAGGGCTGGATTTTAACCCCCAAATAACTCCACATTAGTCTGGAATAATGATTTTGCCACTTTTACTGTGTTTGTATGAAATAAGAGTGGTACAATGATAATAGCTTATATTTTTGTCTGTTAGACTTATAATGGCATCATACAGGTAAATACATGTAGCTCACTGGATGAATGATATATTTTTATATCTCAGGGTGGTAGAGGATGAGTAAAACTGAATAGAGAAGAAATCTCAATTTTGAACACTAATCTTTCAAGAGGGACCATCAAAGGTCATTTATCTACCTCACTATACTTTATCTGTCATTTGAATAATAACCATTTCAATTGTATCCTTTAAATTTTTGCATACCTATTGCCAAGGATCACTGACTAGGACAAAATAAAACTTCATATCTGTACAGAAGTTCATTAGAGAAAATTGTTCAAAGTTCAATAAATTACACTAATTTATTCCTAGAGATGTTAAAAGCCTGTTATTTTAAGAGTGAAATACTACTATTTGGATATGAGCTGAGATGTGAGTAAAACAAGCAAGTGCTATTTATATATTCACAGTTATTCAAATGCAAAGGTAGATGGATGTCATCTAATATACGAATTCTGTACTCAAAATTAAATCATTAAAGAAAAAAAAAATACAACTACTACTTCTGTCCAACAATTTTTTCCTGGAAATTACAGAAGCATAATTAAGCTAACCTAGCTGTACTAATCTGACTGGCTATATAAATACATATTCCTGCATGACAGTGGCTTTCTCTGCTCCAGCTGAATCAGTTTGAAAGGAATAATGCCAAAACTGGGAAAAAAAGGCTTCTCATCATTAGATGAAAGTGTCCACATATGAATTTGTATTAATGCCTTGTAGCAGTTTAGAATCACAGCTTACCTTTTATTACCATAATTTTCCATGTGAACAGTCTGTAATCTTCTGTCAAATGCCAGTAGCATCAACACATTCTAAGTTCAGTCTTGCATGAGGGTCCCATTCTAAAATAAATTCAGCTGTGTATCAAGCTGTTCTCTGCATTTCCATTCTTTTTTTTTCCTGGTTGTGGGAAACTATGCTAAAAGCTGACTAGTGACATTTTTTGACTCACACTGCTGACAAATGAGTTCTTCTAGAATTTATAGTATATTTTACTCTCTACTACAGAGTTTCATTCTTCCCCAAGTGGAAATGTGTATTTACACAGTCTGTCTAAAGCGATCTTGCCAATTGAGTAAATACTGCTCTGTATATAGGAGAATCTTAAACAGCTTAAACAAATATAAAAGAGTATGAGTTGATCAAGGAAAAAAGCATTTGTGATTCTAGTGTCATGTTGGTTTCTGTGTTGATGAGGACACATACTGGTTAAAGCAAGTGAATCTGAACGTGCACTTTAGCAGTGATATGACTCCATAATAATCCTGATTTATTTCTTGGAAGACCCAAAGCATGGGTGTTTCAGATATGATTGTGGAGTAAATGTCAACCCATACTTGCAAGAGGTACTGACATAGCTGTTCAGACATAGGTTGTGTTCTTCATATTCCCAGGATATCAAGCAGGAGGCACCAGGGGTGTGTCCCAAGGAACACATGCACACAATTCCTCCCTTTTCCAGACTTCCTGAGCTGCCATCATATTTCTGGATGTGATGCTTCATCAGCTGCGTACTGGTAACAGGAAGACGATCATAGTAAAGAGATCTTTCTGCATCTTTTCTATCCCAGAATGAGCGCATGTGGGTCACAGTAATGACCTCTTCACTCTTGGGATGCAAGAAGGAAGAAGTTCACAGCTGCCTTGTTGAGTTCCAAGTCCCTGAAAGGTCTTGGGAAATCGTTCAGACTCTGGACTCTGTCACCTTAAAATAGATAGAAGATGGCTTTTTCTTAGTTTTCCTATCAGTCACTTTTCCAAATGTCTGGAAGCCTTGAAGACTGATGCAGGACCATCAGCTGATGCTCTGACAAGGTGTGCATGGGGAGCCTGCACTAACTCAGGGATATGACACCAGCAAACACACACAGCATCCTCAGCCAGCATTGCTCAGGGCCTCACAATTCCCTCTGACAGCCTCCAGGATCTGTCTCTAATCAAAGGCAAATTGCCTTTGGACCCAGTAGTTCCATGGTGCCTTTCTGTGCACTTCAGGGACTTGTGTACTTGTCCAAGCAGTTTTGCTGTAACTGAGGGATGTGATGCACAGCCTCAGGAGGGATGTGGGCAGTGTCTGGCTGGGGCAGGCATTGCTGATGCCACACATGGGCTCACTCAGCCTGCCTGAGGTTGTCACCCTGCTGCAAAGCAGGCAGATGTGAGAGCTCTTTAGCTCCATTCCCCAGCAGCCTGGTGCTGAGGCGCAAGCCCATCTTTGTTGATGGCTTTAAGGATTTGCTCTGGAGGAGTTGAAGTATGTGCACATACTGTAGTCTGCCAACTCTTCTTTGAGGAAAATAGCCTCTGGCAGAAAAGAGGAGAGTTTAGAGACAGATGTTATTGTAAAGTGCGTTGGCAGGACTGCCTGCAGCTCTTCTGTAAAGCCCTCTGTGGTACTGATGTGGAGGAGTCCTGCAGACTTTTGTAGGAAGGAGAATAAAATCCCATTTTATGTACAATGACAATATAGCTTTCTGATGCAAAACCTACATTCTAGGTGTTCTGGCAAAACAGTAATTGTGGACACCAGGTTTTCAGTGATGGAAGTTACTGCTCACTTATTATTTCTTTATTTATCATTCTGTGAATTATAAAAGCCATATTTAGTGCTCTGAGAAAAAAAATAATAACCTTCCTCATTTACAAGTTAAAGAATGTTTCTGTATAGTGCCTCAGAGAAAAGAGCACACCTTTGGTCCTTTCGTAGACTCAAATAATTTATTCTTTCTTAATTATGTAATTTGCCATAACTTATAATGAAGTGTTACAGCTAATTTTACTTTTCACTGACAGAGTGGAAGAGGCAAATGTAATTTCCAGTTACTGCAACAAAGCACCAGGATCTATTTAGAGAAATAAATTGATTTAGATGCCATAAAAAGTGGCAGCATAAAGTCAAAACATTACTCATACTGTTAAATAATTTAGCTAGTGAATTCTGTCTCAGTTGAGTATATCTGACTTGGTACACTTTGGGATTTATATTTTTAGGCCTTTGATCTCTCTGAGATGACTGCCTTTTATATCCTCACCACAAAACTCAAAGGAACACCTTTGGAATGAAGGTTATGCTCAAAATGCTTGTTTCTTTCTCCTGTTCACTTCAGATCCAAAGGCACAAGGCCAGTCAGGAGTGTGAAGTACTTTTTCACTGACCATATTATCCTGAACAGCTTTTCCTCATCCTGCAAGCAAGGCAGCTGCTTCTCTGGGTAAGATTTCCTTCAGTTTGGTGGATGTCTCACAGCAGCTCTGGTATCCTGCAGTCAGTTTTTCTAAGAAAGCTTCACCTGGCTGTGGTGGCAGGGAGCTGATCCCCCCTACCTGCCGCCTGTTTACAGGAAGTAGCGAATTTTAGCTATGATGTGAATGAAATCCAGTATCTGATACAATATCCTCAGAGCGAGTCACCTCATTTCTTAATCACAGCTCTATTTTGAACTCATGTGGCACTTAAAAGTAAACAAAAATCCCTGGGCTTTAAGGTGATGGTTACCTTGGGACCAGCAGGGTTATACTCATCATGAACAACCATTGGTAGTTTCATTCTGCATTATATATCCAGTATATATATTTATATTGGTTTCAAATAACAAATTAATTTCCAAAGTCTAGACACTTTCTGAAATAAACTAGGTTAAGACAAAAAATAACACTTACATTTGTGAAATAAACCCATTACCAGATCATTGTCTCAGTCAAGTAAGAAGTAAAGTAAATGTCTGGTAGTTAATTTTTGTTCAGGAGTTAGTGAAGGAAGAAATTAAAGGAAAATTTGAGAAAGAAGTTAAAGGAAGGAATAAAACTAAAATGCCAAGATAAGTGAGTATGAATTACAAACAATAGCAAAAAAAGGAATGTCAAGGAGAGATAAAGATAGAACAAAAGGGACTGGAAGTTCTGAAGACAAAAATAAAACCTTCTCGAGGGTATTAAGAGAATATAAAATGTAACTGGTATCCGTTGCCACAAGGAGATGGAAATTTTTGAAGAGTGACAGGAAAAACAGTTTATTCAATAAATGGTTTTGTCTTTCGTTTGCAAAGAGGCAGAGAAATCTAGTCATAGCATATGAGGATGGAAACGTGCCTTCCAATATGCTTGAGTGAAAGGGAATCCCACTAACTCCAGCTTGAGTCCAGTGATCCAAGCTCTGCTAGGCAGCTGCACCTTATCACCCTCTATACACACCCAAAAGAAGGTTGTAGCAATGTGGGGGTTGATTTCTTCTCCCAGGAAAACAATTACTGGGAAAAATTTCTTTACTGAAAGAGTGGTCATAGGAATAGACTGCCCAGGGAAGTGGTGGAGTCATCATGCCTGGAATGTTCAAACAATGCATGGCTGTGGCACTTGGAGATATGGCTTAGTGGTGATTACAGCTGGACTCGATCTTAGAGGCCTTTTCCAACCTAAAGGATCCTATGATTCCCTCCAGTCAAGGGCAGGTTCTCCAGAGGGGAGTTTATTCCACTCTGTGCGGGGGACTGCAGCATCCAAGTGACCACCAGGCCCATGAGGAACCAGGCCAGATGTGTGTGTTAAGTTACCCTGTAATGACAATAAAATTACACACACAGCTGGCAGCCCTTGATGCCATCTTCAACAGCCCCACCCAAGCAGCAGTTAGGGACAGCTTCAACAGGTTCTGTTCATGGCTAAATTCATGATCCCCACCTACAGAAGAAATGATCTGGTCTTGCACTGAAGGTGCCCTCTTTTTAGCAGCTGTCAAGATAATAGTGTGTGACAGCATAACCATTGTCTGTTCACTGTCTATTCAAGTGTCTGTTTTATAATTCTTTAAAATATTCTGACAGTTTTCCAGGTGTGACTTTGTGGAAGCTTCAGCACTTATTACAGGGTCAGTGACTTGGTCATGAATGCATTCTTCTTTTAGGATTCCTGAAAACTCCCTGTGCACAGCACTTTTCTCAAGAATATAAGCATACATGCTTATAATGCTTTGTCACCCATGTGTTATTAATATCTGTGTGCTTACAGCAATGCTACTGGCATGTGCTCTAATTTTTTTGCTTTTATTTGGATTACAATAATTCTCTCCTTTGTGATGACCTGTTCAAATCACAATTTCCCTGAAAGTGCAGCTAGTCAGACCATTCAGTTCCCAGTCATATCACTGGCCTTCTGAGGAAACATTTGGGGGCAACTTCATAATGTATTGATTTTTTCAGTGCTTTTTTGAAAATACCCTTGAGAAAACACATGCAATGAATTACCACTGTAGCACATAATACCACAACCTGCATTGCTAATAGTTCAACGCTGGGTGAAACTAGACACATAACAAACTAGATGTTGTAGGACTGTAGAGCAGCCAGACTTAGTAATTACTCTCTTGATCTCTGGTGCCCATCTTGTAATTTCTTGCTGATTATATTCAGTTTTCTTCAGTTTTCGTTTGTTGAGACAGAATCGCTGTTTGGTTTACAATGGATTAATAATAAAAATCCTTTCTTTCACAACTTTTTACATTCAGCTCTTGTTTTTCCTGTTACAAGAGTACCTGTCATGCCCTTGGGAGGGGAATTTTCAGTCATTCTGATTGGAGAATGATGTTTGGTTGTACACTTAAAACCTGGTAAGTAATGACTGCAGTATCATTGTAAAATGTGGGTTTCCGTTTTAAAGTGCAGTCTAGTCTTAGTCTGAAGATACCATGGTAAATGATTTTAGTTTTGGGTTCTACCAGTTGAGCTTTAGATCAGAATAATTCTTCATGGTGAGTATTTCCTTCCATTTCTCTAAAGCAAAATTGCATCCTAATAAATTCCTGAAACTACACAGGCAGCTTCCTCTTGGTGAATGCTGGGTTTCCATCAGGGATGGAGTTTACCAGTTCAAGGGTCATCAATTTATGCATGGTCCTTTCACAGATCTGCAATACAGTTCCTTACAGAAACTAAATAAAACTAATGCTTTACAGTCTTCTAACATATGGTTAAGATGGTGGACTTTTCTACACTTAATTAGGCCGACTTTCCTTCTATTAATCACTGCAGTGAGAGGATATTTTTATATCAGTAAACCACACGGACCTGATAAAATTTCGATCAGATTAATCTGCAATTATTCTAGCATTTGAAGCTAATGAGAATACAGCTTTTTCAAAGAGCAATAGTCCACCCTAGTTATGTATTGAAAACTGTAGGAAGGCCTTAATTACATCATCGCCTATCAATGATAATTTATCCCAATTGGATTCAAGGTCTACAGTATTCAGTGTTCCATTCACTGCACCTAAATTTCCTAATAAAGTACTTAAAATGTTACATCTCCCTTTCACTTTCAAATATTTCGCAATCCATTGCTTAAACAGGCTTTGCTCAGCATACATTCCAGTTGAATAATTAGAGAGTTTAATGGAACAGTTACTTGAGTTAATTTGAACCATATGTAACTCTATTCCAGATTTAAAAGACCTTCTGACTTTCCATATTGCCTTTGGAAAGTTGGGCTTCTGGGGACTTCGATTCCAACGGTAGCTGGCATTTGCCCAATGAAAGGAAACAAGGTGAGCAGATGGAAACAGGCTGTGAGTATGGGCAGATCCAGTACTGGCCCAGAGAAGTTTGACCTGATCTTTCATGGAGAAGTTTATTCTGGAAAAGCTAAACATTAGATGGAGTTATTACTGTGTGACGCTGGCTGATGACAGGAAGGATTACAGGCTGCACAGGGAGGTTGTGGAGTCTCCCTCTCTGCAGACATTCCAAACCGTCCCGGCTGTGTCCCTGTGTCACTGCTCCAGGTGACCCAGGCTTGCCAGGGAGGTTGGACTGGCTGATCCCCAGAGGTTCCTTCCAACGCTAACAAATCCATGATTCAGTGATTCAGTGATTCAGTGATTCAGTGATTCTGTGATTCTGTGATTCTGTGATTCTGTGATTCTGTGATTCTGTGATTCTGTGATTCAGTGATTCTGTGATTCTGTGATGCAGAGCAATGGGTACACAGCTGGCTGGCAGGATAAGATGTGAATGCTCTAATACCACAGATCCAGCTGCAGTGTGTGTGTGGATTTTGGGCCAGGGTACAGACTATCTCTGTAGAACCCCTGCAGATCCCCTCTTGTGGGAACCAGCACTGTTTAGTTGCTTTTCATCCGTTTACGAAGTGGTTGGAAGCTGTCACACAGTTAGCTGTGATGCAATTATATAGTGTGGCATTTCATCAATGAAGAATTCCCAAGGAAACCATGCCAAGAGCAAATAACAAAAGAGTTGTGCAGAATCTTATGAATCAAGCAAAATTGAATCTCACACAGCAGAAAAACCTCAAAGTTCTGGACAAGTGAAATATTCCTGCAGGACAAGCAAGGAAATTTAGAAAATTATTAAAAGGTAGTGATAAAGACTGGGATGAAGAGCTGTCTCTGGACTCATGGTCAGAAGAGCAGCCATTGTAGTTTGGTTTGTATATGTTTATTGAGACTTTGATTTAAAGAGAACTGTAAACAACACAACACTGTAAGCTGTAAGGAGAATGGTTTGTTGCATGGCAGTCTGAGCTGAAACTTTGAAAAATTTCAACCTAACTAACAAACCCTAAATGGTTTGTTTCAGAGTTTGAAGAACAAAATTTTATCACATTGATATAGTTTTTGTTTACGTGATTTCCAACCAAGGTACCCATGGAAATATCTTTAAGTGTTTGAAAGCTAAAAGAAGTGTCACAACAGTACTAATATTAACAAAAGTATCATACAAAATCCACTTAATTTTGAATGTTAAAGGCAAGATCCAGATGGTCAATAATCATGGGTGTGGGCTCATATAACACCACGTTAGTCTTCCTCCTGAGATCTTAATTCCTTTGCTATTGCTCTAAACTCTGTGCTATCTAATTCTACTTTGATCATGATTAGCACCATGTCTATTAAAGCTAATTGTTTTTGGGGTTTTTTTTAGATGAAATATTTTTGATGTCCCCTTTTATTTCACAGTCTAATCCAAACAGCACCCTGGTTCTCACAGAATTTTTGGCTTAACTCACTCCCTTTTCTGGGAAGTGCTCACTATGTTCCATATTGTCCGTTTCCTGGAAAGCCTTTAGCATAACTGCTGTCCTTAATTCTTCTGTGATTGTATCACATTCCAAACTGCTCTTAGGCTTGGATCCTGTTTTCTGCTTGCTTCCTAAACAGGCAATGCCCAAAATGCTTATCCAATAAGCTCTGTGGATACCCTTAACTTGATTCTCATTAATATCTATGCCTTCAGAAATGTATTTTGCATTTCCCAATTGCCTATGGAAAGCATGTTTTGTCTTTTGATTAGATCCCCACTGTCTGCTTTCTTTAGCAGGCATCAAGATAATAGTCCCTACAGGCATGAACAGTATTTTTTTGGTCACAAACACATTCCCATTTTAGAGTTCCTGAAAATTCCCTTCATGTGGAACAGTATTTAAGAACATAAGTGTGTATTTTAGCCTGGTGCTATTAATATCTGTGTATTTACAGCAATGTAACTGATACATGTTTAAATTTATTTGATTCTCTTCAGAATAATTGGAATCAAATGGCTGCATGGGAATCTTATTTTTATTTCTTTATTGTGGGAATCCCAGGCAACTCAGCTAATTTTAAACACATTTAGGTGAGATGAATCACCCTATTAGTAGCAAATGTGGAAGTTAAATGAACGTATGAGCAGAAGAATATTTCACATTGGCAATCCTGACATCCGGACTCCTAAAAGCAATGAGTTTTCAGATAGCCTACTGAAAATGACAGTTTTGAATAAGTATTTGCATGTGGGTGATTCTGAAGATCAAAAGCAGAATCATATTTTCTGAGTATTCAAACTGTTCAAGGGGAAGAGAAGGTAACAGGAGGCTTGCTAGATAACATCAGTTCTTGGCAAAATACTGGAAAAATTATAAAGATTGTGTTGGTAAAAAGTTAAAAGAGAAAGGTTTATAACTAAACTTGGTAAATGTATGAAAAATGGGCTTTGTCAATATATTTGATTTCTTTCTTACAATTATAGTTGATAGAAATAAATAATGGACTTCTGTAAAGATTTATTAGAAATGACATGTTGATAAGAAAATTAGGACTATGCAATATCAATAAAGTATGTCTTAAATGGATTAAGAACTGGTTCACAAGACTGAAAGAGTACTTGTCAGCAGGGAGTTATTACTGATAATGACATTTTTAGGAAGGTTCTGTAGTTCTAAATCAGCTTCATTTTCATCAGCTCTGTGTTCTTCATAATTTTCAATCGATTGGCAGAAATAAGTGAAAAATAAAATCAGTGGTGTTAGCCCTTGTGAATGGTCCAAAGTGGTGAAGGATGTTAAAAGCAAACCGTGTTCTGGATTACAAGGGAGAAAGTTGAGCTCCAGGAAACACATTTGACTTTAACATGAACTGCTGGGAGGACAAAGGGAAAGGAATAACATCTGACTGAGGAGGACAGAGACTGTCTCCAGGGAAACAGTGAGAGGTTTAGTGCAGAGGTAGTGTGGTCTCCTAGTTTAAAGTGCTATAACAAAGGGTTTATGGTGCATAAACCCCGGAACTGTAAGTAGGGAATATGGACATGATTTCATCTCTCTCCATAAAATTCCTCAGTTATGCAGCTGTGATACCAACACCTTAAAAAATACGGTTGAAAGAACAGAGGGGCACAGAAAAGAATGACAACAATTACTCCAAGGTTAAGGAAAATGTTTTGATGCAGCAGACACTTTCGTTGCATAGTTAATGCATCAAGGCCCCTAAAACCCACTCCTTCAATCTTGCAGTTTTGTCAGGTTTCTGGTACCCTCAAAAGAGCTCTCTACATATTTATATAAACTCTTAAACAAGATTTTATGATGGTGCCCTCAAATAGGATACACATACACACACACACACACATACACAAACATTTATAGAAATTTATATATTTCTGTGTATTATATATTCTTGACCTATATAGGATGAAGGCCAGCTATTTTGCTTTGCTACTCTCACAGTTCTCAGGAACACATTAACCACTGTGACACCTCTGTGTTTGTCTGGAGACAATAAGAGATTGTCTTACCTTACAGCAACACAAAGGACATGAAGAGCATGTCCAGAAGCCCTTGTGCATTAAACCACTGAGTTGAGCAGTGTATAAAGACTCACAACAGCTGGCAGAGTTTTAAAACCTGATTGTTAACTTGTGGACAGTGTTAAATTAATGCTGTTCATCAGAAATTGCCCATTAAATAGCCCAATACACCCCAAGATGCTAAAAAAGTTGGAATTTTTAACTTATCAAATAGAAGACAGCTTTATAAGAGGATATAAACACATTTAAAGGAAAAGTAGAATAAACAATACAGGCTTCTCAGTCGAACCAAGCAAAACAAGAATCTAGGCTTGGTTATTAAGGCTGAAAATAATAAAAATAAAAATTGACACATTTTTATTTTGTTACTTTATAACAGCAAGCCTGATAAAAAATAGAAAAAGTGCAAAAAGGTGTTGGTATTTCCACTGTTAATATTATAAAACCAATGGATTTTATAAAACCAAGGATATCGCTTGGAAATCATGACAGAAATTGTCTTTAGGAGTTACTGGCCTCTACAAAAGCACCATATAAAGTTTAATAGCCTGTGCTATAAGAGAAATCAGACTACAAGATCTAATATTGGCCCCAAAGGCAACAATCTATGAATAAACTGTAGTAAAAGTATTACATGGGAAATTGGATTGGAAAGCACCATTCAATTATCTTATAAATCAGACCAATGGTGATCCTTTCTTGAAATTCTGGGACAGATTTTTTTTTAAATTTCCTACTACTAAGGCTTAAGTATTCAATCTTGAGTTGCCATGAAACATGCTTCTGTCTTACATGCATAATGTCATATATCATGGTGATAGAAAGCTGAACTCAGGGCTGTAGGGTGGGAATGTTAGAGCTGGAAGAAAAGCTACTAAGATCAAAGAGGTTGAATAAAACAGAAAAAGAGGACATCTGCCCTTTACTAATAGAGAGAAACAATGGAGAGTTAATATTCTTGGTTCTCTGACCCTTGATATTAAAGCAGTATTACTCTAAAGTCCCACAGTAGCAAGTCTTGCAATGTTGACTCTGTACTTTGAAATTAACCTGCATTTGCTTCAATTTGCTTCAAGTATGAAAGATATTTCCAAAAATGAAAGTAAAAAGGATTGCTTTGTAATTGAAGCGATATTGACTTACTAATTAATTTAAAGTGGTGATTTCATGATTATTGGTTGTCATTAGACTGCTTCTTGAAGGATCATGCAGTGTTTGTTTGTAACAGCTACAACAATTTTCCATATAATTGCAGGATCTAAGTGGAATACAGTTGAAACAAAGTGCAGGAGACACATTACAAGAGCTGTACTCCCAGATACAGCAGAACAATTTGTTTTGTGATTCCTAATTACTAGCAAGTCAGTGGAATGAAATGTGCTTTCAGAAGCTACATTGCTGACATCTTGCTGACATCATCTCAATCAGCACAGAAGCTGCCTCTGTGTATTCATGCCCTTTGAAAGTTCCAGTAGTTGATGCTGAGCAAACGAAAAATAGCTACAAATACAATAAAAGCACTAAGTATGGAACACACAGGCTGAGTCATGGAGGGGAAAGAGAAGAAAAGATTTAAAATAAATGGAAAACTAATGAATAAAAAAAGTTTCTCTGGGCAGGCTGGGATATGAAATAAATCACCAAATGAAAAAGAAAAGCAATAAAATAATGACAGTCAGAA